TGCATGCGTATATATATATATTTTTTTTATATTTAAACACCCTGATGTATTTATAAAAAATACAGATTATTTTATTTGTTGTTTATATACATTTTTATTTCAATTAGTTTCTACAGTATTTGTTTAGACAGAAAACTCATTCAAAAGCATTGAATATATAATGGAAATAAGTCCATTGTACAAAGTATCATTAGCTCAGTGTTTGGGTACAAGTCTGTTGTTCTAGGGATCTCAGGTTCGAATCTCAATGTTTTCAAAAATTAATAAATTGCGTATAAATTGTAATTAATAAAATGCGGAATGACTCACAAATTCACACTTTAAAAATAACATGTAATAATAAAATTTAAAAAAAATAAATTTTTTTTTCAATAATTTATTTCTCAACATTACAGCGCATATCCATATTCAAATATTACTGCCTAAATATTAGTGGCAATAATATTTAGGCAGTAATACATTTCGGCAGTAGTACGAAAAAATCACACACAGCAGTAATACTTCTGTGTAATTGTCAGTAATACGTCTATGTGATTTCCAATAATATTTCCAGTAGTTTCGTGTGATATTTTATGTAGTAGCCAGTAATACCTCGGCAGTCGGTCTTTTCCGTAAGGGTGTATTTTGAATAACTCAAGTTTCGATTCCGTTGCCGGATCTCCCACAAGACAATTCTTGTCGTCGCGCGCTCATAAAAAAATCAATTCGTGACGAACATTAACAACTACACGTGTGTAATTCTCACAAAAGCCAAACAGCATCCTGAGCAGTACGCAAAAACTAAAGTATCCATCTTTTGAGATGAGAATGGCATTAACCAGGTTAAGTCCAACATTACCCGTCATATATGAATTGTTTGATGAGAGCGATACATAGTTTTTTAGAGTGGTAGTTAGTCCAACGTTACTACTGCGATCAATCTCCACGCCGTTGAGTTCATATCGCATTTCATCAAACATGAACGCCACACAATTATTTTCAATTGTTGGTGTATTATCATTCTTCGTCTTTGTTGTCAATCTTCCTTCGACGTAAAGTGTACTTTCGCACGGTAATGTGTATAAATCCTGTTGTTGTATTGGTATCCTTATCTCGTCATTATGTTGAAATGTTGTGTTGACATATGGATTGTATGTATGAGTCTCAATCTTGACGATGCTATCGTCAAAGATCGGCTCACCTCCAATGTTCAGGATATCAACCACCTTAGATATTTTGTACAATGAATCCCAATGATTTCAAAAATGTAACATTCGACGCAGTGAGTTTCTTTTTACTGAACGTTCGAATACTCTTGGTTGTCGTTTCTTTATTGAAAAATATGTCTCTTGTCTGTTTCACTGGCTCGTTTAGTACAAGCACCTCACGTTATCACAATCGTTTCCATACATGCAATCGAACGGTGATTTCCTCTCCGCGAAAATCAAGTAAGCGATCGTCTTGATCCATAATGCGAATTGTCAAGTCCGTAATGCTCCGTACGATGATTGGAAGGTAAATGATCTGTTTCAGTGTTTCTGAGATCTTATATCCTGGCTGTACGTTCGATGAAAACTCATGTATCGTGTGCACGCTCGTTTCGTTGCTGTACGCATCCGTAGTTACGTTGAACTCGATGCGAATGATGTTTACGTTGATGATATTTATCGGTGTGTCTGATTCATGCCACTGTTGTGGCTCCAGGATACGATTCGGCAAAAATCCCAACAACGATCCAATGTTGTTAGATTTGGTGAAATTTATTTGATAAAAGCACTTTATCTCTTCAGCATATTTTTGTTGGCGCGAATCGTCAACGAGTCCTTGTTCTCCTCGTCTTCATCGGTCTTTGCTTTCTTCGTCGCAGCATCGTTGGAACGAGATTGGAAATTACGCGTTTCAGATACTTTTCTATGTTTTGTATTTCATATGATCGATTTAGAAGTGATAACTTCCTTATCGTCTTTGTCATAGTAAAATTTATTGTTCGACTTATTTACATTAGGTATTGTATAGTAGGTTTCAAAGTATGTCAGACCGAGTTCGTAATCACCGTCACTCAAATCTATGGCCGGAAAGTAGCTTGCTCTGAGGACGCTACTTTTGCGAGACAGTGTAAACGTCAGCGACATGTTTGAACGAATACTGAGTTAAACA